CTTATGTTCCCAGGGGCCACACAAAGAGTTTTTCTTAGATAATGGTTTCCTTTTCAAAAATAAATGCCTATGTGTACCCAAGGGATCCTTAAGATTTCTTCTCATCAAAGAAGCACATGAGGGTGGTTTAATGGGTCATTTTGGGGTAGCAAAGACTTTAGACATACTACATGAACATTTCATTTGGCCTCACATGCATAAACATGTAGCTAAGTTTTGTAGTCAATGCATCCCTTGCCAACATGCTAAGTCTACCACCCATCCTCATAGCTTATACACCCATCTTCCGGTCCCAAGTTCACCTTGGGTTAACATCTCCATGGATTTTATTTTGGGTTTACCTAGGACCAAAAGAGGGATGTATTCTATTTTTGTGGTAGTGGACCGATTTTATAAAATGACTCATTTTATACCCTGCTACAAAATAAATGATGTTCTAAACATTGCTAACTTTTTCTTTAGGGATATTTCCACTTGCATGGGTTACCCAAAACTATAGTGTCTGATAGAGACTCTAAGTTCTTTAGTCACTTCTAAAGATCTTTGTGGAATAAACTTGGCACTAAACTTTTATTTTCTACCACTTATCATCCACAAACTGATGGTCAGACAAAAGTTACCAATAGAACTTTAGGTAAATTATTACAATGATGTATTAAGGGCAACCCTCAACAGTGGGAGGAGTTACTACCCCATGTTGAGTTTGCATATAATAGGGTAGTTAACTCCACTTCATCATATTCCCCATTTCATATTGTCTATGGTTTCAACCTCGTCACTCCATTGGACCTCCTCCCCCTTCCTAACTTTGACTTTATGTGCATGGATGGTATTTCTAGAGCCCAATCTATTAAATATTTTCATATTCGAGTCAAAATCAAAATCAAAAAGAAAAATGAAAAATATGCTTCTCATGCAAATAAATATAGGAAGAAAGTCACCTTTTCTCCTAGTGATTAGGTCTAGGTTCACCTAAGGAAGGATAGATTTCCTTCCCAAAGGAAATCCAAACTCAATCCAAGAGGAGAGGGTCCCTTTCAAGTCCTTCGCAAAATAAATGACAATGCATATGAGATTGATTTTCCTTATTCTTATCATGTGAGTACTTCCTTTAATGTGACTTATCTTTCTCCTTTTGCAGGTCTTCCTGATTCATGGTCGAATCCTCTCCATCTCGGGGGGGATGATGTGATCATAGATGGGACACAAAAAGAAGAAAATTGAAGGGTAACACGAAGCATGACCAAGACCATCTCCTTTCTTCTTTACTCCTTCTCCTAAAAAGAGTAGTATAGGATTTTAGGCTTGTATTCTCGACCCATTTACATGTTTTAGCTTGTTTAGTTCACCTTAGATTAGTTTTTGTTGTCTTAGTGTTTTTTATGTTTATAAACACTTGGGCGAACAAGTAGTGGGGAGATGTGAGACTTCTCCCTTGGTTGCTCAAAACTCCACATTTCCTAGCTCATTCCCACTGCTTGTGCTCCTAAGCCTATAAATAAAGTCCCTACTCCTCTTGTATGGACACACTTGAAATTGAATAAGAATTAATTTTTGCATTTTACAAACTCTTGAGATAGAGATTATCTCTTAGCTGAAATTTTGTGATCTTATCTTGTCATAAAGCAAGTGGCGATCACCATCCTTCACTTATCTTGAAGCTTTTTCCAAGTGGCGTGTTCTACTTAAATTGCAGTCTGACAGAAGGTGGTGAAAACGATTTTTACATTCATCCTTAACAATAATGTAAGACAAATGTATTATGTCTAGAAGAAGAAGGAGGAGGAGGAGGAGGAGGAGGAGGAGGAGAGGAAGAAGAAGAGGAAGAAGAAAAGGAAGAAGAAGAGGAGGAAGAAGCAGAAGAAGGATGAGGAGGAGAAGAAGGAGGAGGAGAAGAAGGAGAAGAGGAAGAAGAGGAAGAAGAAGAAGAAGAAGAAGAAGAAAAAGAAGAGGAAGAAGCAGAGGAGAAGGAGGAGGAGGAGGAGGAAGAGGAAGAAGAAGAAGAGGAAGAGGAGGAAGAAGAAGAAGAAGAAGAAGAAGAAGAAGAAGAAGAAGAAGAAGAAGAAGAAGAAGAAGGCACGCCTCCCAACAAGTAGATGATAACTCATAAGTGCAAAATATGATGATGATCAACAATAGGACAACTTATAACCACATTTATCTCCAAACTATTCAAATTATTTGTTATTTATTATTATATACATTCATTGTGTTCTTAAGCACACTTTGTTCCATGTGACATTAATTGATCATGTTACCTAAATTTTTAAGTTAATTAATATATGAATTTGTCATTGTTCAACTATTTTGTAGGTTGTTGTGCATTATTTGATTGATTTAGATAGGTATTGTGACTGCCGAATTATTAATTATCAAAAATACTCATTAACCAATAGATATTTTCTATTACCCACGGATTTTGGTAATTGGTAAAAAACTAATTTTCTTGTAGTACGATAAACTATCTTATATCCTTTATATGAGAGTAAAACTCTTCTAATCTCTTCAAACTTCTATTGGTAAAGCCTAAAGAAATATAATAAACATAAAGAGCTGAGAATAACTAACAATTAAAAAGGAACTCATGCTTTATCCCTATGATAGTTAAAAATTTGCTAGAAATATTATTGTCTACTCATTATAAGTTAAAAGTGACAATAAAATAATATCTTATTATACTGTAATTGGTTATAATAGAACCCCAATAATTTATTAAACAAAAATTTGTCATAGTTAAAATAGAATAAATTAGTGTAGAATAAGTATTATATTTTGTTATCTTGATCATTAGTCTACTTAATTCATCTTTTAATAATAGTTTTAAAAAATCCTGATAAAATAATTAAATTATACAATTTTGTATTAATATTAATTTTATATTTTCATAATTTTTTTAAATGAAAAAAGATAATTTTTTTAAAATATAAAAAAGCTTAGATTATTAAAACACTTTAAAATTTAGAAAGAATGTAAATAGCATTTTATTAAAAGTATGATATATTTTTAAAATTAAAAAAAAATGTAAATGCCATTCAGTATAAGTGTAATTACAGTATAATTTTTTATTGTGTTTCACTACCCATAATTTTGTGATAAGGAATTCTCAACTATAAACAGTGTTGGTAACTCTTCTCACTTGACGTTTTTAGTACCAAGAAAGCAACACGGATTCTACTACTGAAATGAAGTACCTTAGGGTTCAATAAATTATACATTTGAACGACTGCAACGAAATGAGGCATCTCAAATTCTCTAATTAAGCTCAATATTCCCTAACTATATTTATTTTCTCAAAGTTTGGTTTTTTTTTTTTTTTGCCAACTATTCAATCAATTATAGTTTAAAAAAAAAAAAATCTAGCTGACATTAAAAAATATCCTATTCGATAAAATTTTTTCCAAAACATTATTTAATTAAAAACAAATCCTAATAGGCATTGGCAAAAAAAATACCAAATGAAACTTTATATATATATTATTTCACATCATCAAAGAAAAATTATAAAATCTCTTAAAAATCAATCAGATTTAGAAATAAATAATCCAAAAAATATTAATAAAAAAATAACCTTTATCAAAATTGACTAAAATATTTATATTGACTGAAAAACAATCATGTAAACGTCAATAAAATAACCTTTCCAACTGTAACTAAAAATAACAATGAACAATCTTAAGTAAAAGAACCATAAAAAAAAGCAATAGAAAGTGATATCATACCGACAACCAATTAAAAATATAAAAAGAATATATAATTTAAGAGAAATACTTTTTTATATATTTTTTTTATTTTTACGTAAAATTTAAATGTAATAGATTATTCTAAATTACTAAAATTTCATTTTTTATATAAAATATTTCAAATTCCCTTTTCAAACATCTTTTTTTTATTTTTTTTATAAAGTATTTGCGAATTCTTTTTAACAATAAATTACCCTTGAAATTTTCTATCCATAATATTAGAGTCCATTATTATTTTGGGGGGCCAGATGTTAAATACCAATTTTGCCAACAGAAAGGAATGTCAACAATCAATGTAAGTAAGACTTAAAGTGAGAATTCATATATACCTATTTGATGTTTCTGTTCATAGCTAGATGAGACTGGGGAATAGGAGAAACAACCATATGAAATGGTGAATTTTACGCAGACCAGAGATATATGGAGGCTGGTAAATCTTTTTCATTACATAAAAAAGCTGTCTCTGCTACAGCTCTCACTTAACTTAGATTAACACTTCTAACTGGACAAAATCTGGTAGCAATCAAGAAAAATGACGAAAGTCAACCAACTATACCCTGTATACACTCACTAATCCAAAAATCTTATGTACTGATACAGTTTCAGAGATGATAATCAATGACCTCAACTTGACGAACCTCCATACAAAAACGGAAGTAGTAAAAAGCTCAAGGCACTGTGGTTGGCAGATACAAGATGTTGAGTGAAATATTACTCCATTGACAGAAAGAATTACATACCACATGACTAACTTAGTCTGCAGACACCACCTGCATTGCTGATTTCATTAGTCCTATACATAGTAGCCTCTTGCCATCTTCCCCAAGTGTACAAGCCCATAGATATATAATAATGCGGAATTCATGCATGAACTCATCAATTGCAGGTTCCTAATTATAAATCTTTACTGGCTTCTCAAACGTGTGACGATTCTGAAAACAAAACCCACGTAATTTTGAGTGGAGTAAATAAAACGAAGTTTTATACCCTCAAAACCAAATAGTACCTGAGGAAGCTTGCTCTTAAAAAAATTCACTAACCTGGTTGACAGCATATGATCTTTTAGGAGCATTGTCAGTATGCTCCAAGCCAAGATATTGCTCCCAAGCACCATAAACATCTCTTCTCTATCAAAACATATTTAAACATGAATACAGTGGTAGAAATTTATGTAAGAAAAATAATTACAATGAAGATTCAATCAACGCACCTGAAAACGACTGGATACAATGTCAGAATCTTGAAGATATTCCGGACGCCCTAGTGATAGAAATGCAAACTTCCACTGGACAAACAAGAAATATATTAAGAAAAAAAAAAAAAAAAAAAGCAGTTAGGTGAACTGAAATCAGATGATATACTCAACTTTCTGTCAACGAAACCACCAAACAAACTAATTACTCAAATAGCTGGACATGAGGTAATACCTTGGCAAACTCATCATCAGGAACTTGAAGTTTCTTCTGTATTCGCACTTTAATTTCAGATAGAGTTTCTCCTTCATGTATAACCAGAAAAAAGGTTCCCCGAAGTTTTGAATTTGCTGAATTTTGAAGGAAAAACAAAAAATACAATACTTGTGTCATATAATTAATATCATCATACAATTATAATAAAACAAAAATATCATTTAAAAGTAATTACCATTTGGTTTTGAGCTGTGTCTTTGTTGAAATGGTACACATGAATTAGACGATCATGAGGACCAAGATTTTTCTCTTCTTCTGGAATCTATTATATTTGAAAATGACCATACAAGTGTTACAATTATTATGGGAGAGAAATTGAACAAAAATATAATATTATGGTATATGTAGAAGAGCCAGGTCGTGTCATCATTTGAACAATAAAAGCAGAATACTTCATGACACTAAATGCTAGCACTTGTAAATCAACACTATCTCCGTTGTTTCAGATTCGTACCTCCTCAGCTCGTAATGTCCAGTATTGATCATTAATGTTTTCAATCTTTTCATTTGGAGGGAAGACCTGCAGACAGGCAATAGTAGGATCGTACTGAATGGTAAATTTAATCAAGATTCCCAGATGATTTTTTTGGGAAACAATAATAAAATATAGCAACAAATCAACAAGTCATCAATGCTCGTAATTTCATACCTTGTATATTTTGTGATAGAAGACTTCAAGTAAGCGAAGTTCAGCTTCAGGATCAGATAACTCTACCTGAGCACAATTGTAATAAGTAGGCTTGATAAATAGAAATAAAGCATAATGTCATCTATAAGTTATTGATGGATGAAAAGTTGGAAGCTTTATTAGGAAAACTCGGTATTTGCCCTACATTGCAGTCCCAACCAATGTTGTGAAAACCAAACCGACCAAGATCAGTTGCTAGATCAGAATGCATTTACGAAAACAATGACCAGGTCAAGTTGATGGAGGTTATTTTTGAAAAAGAAAACATCAAATATATTGTTGATTTTAAACATGGAGTAGAATTGTCAAATTATGTTAAGCATATATATCGATATATATATCCAATGACCTAGTAATCTGACAACTAACCCAGCACCTCGACCATAAACCCAGTCTCTCAACCGGATCAACAACTATGCTGGCTTAACAACACTAGTCCCAACATATATGGTTGGCCCCCTTACTATATATGGTTGTGATGTGGAATATCCAATATTGATTAAGTTGACCAACCTATTTCCCTTTCGACTTTAGAAGAAGCCACATGTGATAGTTGTGTGCATTTGTGAATTATGACCATAATCTTCTGTACATAGCCAAGTATTTGAATCAAAGCTTAAAAATTTCACCTTTGTTTTAAGATCATCAAGGACATCCCCAACAGTACTCTGCTTTGGAAGTCGGATAGTATGACTAAACACCTGACAAAAATATGTAAACTGCTGTGAGAGGAAGGAAAAACTACTTAAAAAGGGAAGAGAAATCTGTTCAGCATACTCACTTCATCCTTAGTGGCAAATGCAACTTTCAGAGTTTTCAACCCTTGTAATTCTGGTAGAGGGATGTCAAGTACTTCATAGTATAATATATCTGACGTCTGACATAAAAGAACGGAATAAGATCTATTGTGTTTTCAAGAACAAATATTATGATTAATTTAACAATAACTACCTGATTGTAATGAACTAACATATCAGACAAATGTTCTACTCCTCTGTATTTAATAGGCTGGGGTTTGGGTTGTTGAGAGTAGCAGTTGTGTGGTGTCAGCCGTATTTTGGACGGGTCATCCAAACCAAGTTGTTGGGCTACTCTCTCCACTACATCATCGTAAGTATAAAGCCTTGACCTAGAAATAGTAAATGCAAGAGCATTAATGCATAACAATATAAATAACTACATCCGCACTTCAATAAAATAGAAAAATATTATATAACTTTACAATTTGACCCCAATAAGCTGCCAGGATGCTTACATCTCCAAGAAAAAGTCATCTTCTTTAGGTCTATCCAGAGATCGAAAGTGAACCACCTTAGAATATATAAAATATACAAGCAACTTTAGGTCTTATTTAACTATTATCATGAAATTTGCTAGATTAATTAATTGCATAAACAGATATGCACAAGCACCAGTATGTAGTGAAAAGAGGGCAAGAGAAGTCTACCTATGACTGCCTTTTAGAAAGTTTCATGTCCGCATCACCAAAAACCAAACAAATTTGCATGAAGTAACCTAAAACAAGGATGTACCTGGCGATTATGCACATATTCTAAATATGAGGGCACATCCGGATAACGGATATTTTCCTCACTGTCCAAAGAGGAAGCTTTCTGAAAGCATATGATATCACCATCTTCCAGCTGCAAAAAATAGATTATAAGCTAATAAACAAAATTGATTAATCTGGTTTTTCAATGTGGCAATCATTGCATGGAATAGTGGACTACAACGAGCTTCAAAACATTACTATAAACATTCCGAAACAAACATGATTGCCAGGAATCTTTTCAATGATTATTCTCATACTAGATTTCATTCAGAAGGAGGCAAGACAATAATTTTTACAATAAAGTTGTCCAATAACATTTGACCTTCTTACGCAGTCTCGATTGCCACATCTTGGCAACTCCATGCCACTGAGTAGGAGGCATCACCTGTTCCCATCACCAGAATAGGCAACTGTCTGCCATAATTTGCTAAAAATAAGAGTTCCTTTTTTTTTTTTATTTTCTTTTGTATGCACTCAACTTTAATGGTTAGTGTGGGAAATCATATAGTATTTTAAGAAAGAAAAAATAAGGAAATTTGTAATCCGTACCGATTTGAACAATTAAAAACAATCCCATAAATGAAGGGATCTTAGAATAAAATAGAGTTATTATATTTCCTAAAATAGATTAGGTCTCCTTTATATATCTTGTATGATCTCTTTGTATTAAAATAATAAAATCATATTTTATTTAATCTAATTTTCCAAATGGTATTAGAGCTTCCGATCTAGGAAGTTCTGTCTGCGCACTATAAACCCTAAGACAGCCTACATTGCTGCTGCATCACACATTCTTGCTATAAATGTCAAGGGAAGAGGAAGTTGTGAATCCAACCCCAGAAATAGGGAATACCCAATCCCAGCAATCTAGAGAACTGCAGAATATCCATTCTGCATATAGACTAAATGGAAGAAATTATTTGAAGTGGGCCCAAACAGAAGAAAGGAGGATCAGAAAATGTGGAGAAGAAAAGTGATAATCTCCGGTGTATCTACTGCAATAAGCCTTGTCATACCCGAGAGAAGTGCTGGAAATTACATGGGACACCTTTAAATCTGTTGCCCATTGTTAAGGTTCCAACATAAAACCAATTGGCAATATGTGGAGTAGCCTAACATGTATTTAAACCATACCAAATGATATGAGGTAGGCGATGTGGGACTTTCAACACACCCCCTCCAACGAAGCCCGCGGACCAGGCAAAGGGTACTTTTTGACCCAACTAAAGGGCAACTTTTGGCCCATGACAATAACCGGAAAGATGTTAGGCTTTGGCTCTGATACCATGTTAAGGTTCCAACATAAAACCAATTGGCAATATGTGGAGTAGCCTAACATGTATTTAAACCATACCAAATGATATGAGGTAGGCGATGTGGGACTTTCAACACCCATCTTAACCAAGAGGAGATAGAAAGGAAGAGAGAACCTTTCTTAGTAAGATGGAAAAACCTAAAGGTATGTGTTATTTGGCATACTCAGGTAAGTTTCCACTTTCTTTTGGATTAAATATCTCATATACATCTTTTAACCATTATTGGATATTGGACTCTGGAGCCACAAACCACATGACACCATTAGCCAAACACTTCTCCACATATTCCCCATGTCCCAACAACAAGAAATTGTCACAGCAGATGGAACCCTTATAACTGCAGCTGGTCAAGGAAATATCCAAATCAATCATTTAATAACCTTAAAAGATGTTCTCCATGTCCCAAAGTTGTCCACCAACCTAGTCTTTATACAAAAACTTATAAAAGATTTGTTATGTCAAGTTTTTTTCAACGATCATTGTGTATTTCAGGACAAGAATTCGGGGAGGATGATTGGACATGCTAGAGAATGGAATGACCTTTATTATCTTGAAGATCCAAGTCTGTCCAGCAAGAACAAAATCTCTCACTCCTTCATATCTGAATCCTTGATGACAATCAGAGAAAAAATCATGTTTTATCATTGTTGGTTGGGACATCCCTATTTTGGAGTGATCAAAATTATGTTTCCCTCTCTGTTTACCAAGTTAGATGTTGAGAGTCTTCATTCTGAGGTGCGTGAACTTGCTAAGCACAAGCGTGTATCTTTTGCAATAAGTAATAGAATTAGCAATTTCCCTTTTTATCTTCTTCATACTGATGTATGGGGACCTTCTAATGTTCCAAATGTGTCTGGTGCTCAATGGTTTGTCACCTTTATAGACGATTGTACAAGGGACACTTGGGTTTTCCTACTTAAACAAAAATCAGAAGTCAGTTTTGTCTTCCTAAGCTTCCACTCCTTGATAAAAAATCAGTTTGGTGTTAATATTAAGAGACTTAGGTCAAATAATGCTAAAGATTACTTCAATCATGTACTTAATTCTTTTGGTGAAAAAGAAGGTATAATTTATGAGTCCTCTTATGTCAAAACACCACAGCAGAATGGGGTCGCAGAGAGGAAAAATAGACGTCTATTAAATCAGACGCAATCATTGTTGTTCCATCTATTACATCAACATACCTTATCAATATACTACCCTCTAGAGTCTTAGGATGAAAAAGCCCTATGGAAGCTTTGTCGTCTTTCTTTCCAAACATGTCCACTATAAATAATCTTAAACCAAGAGATTTTTGGTGCATCTCATATGTCCATATTCATAGTACAGACAGGGAAAAACTTGATCCTAGAGCCTTAAAGTGTATCTTTGTTGGTTACTCACCCACTCAGAAAGGGTATAAATGCTACCACCCCCAATCCAAAAAATTCTTTGTGTCTAGGGAGAACAAGAGGGTTATTTTCATCAAGCTTATCTTCAGGGGGAGAGTTTTAAGGAAGATAAGGAAAGTAGTAATTCTGATTTTCCCTTTCTTTTAGACTTGATATTTGAACGAGATCAAATTGGAAGTTGTAATTCTGGTTTTCCCATTCTTCCAGACTTGATATTTGAACCTAAACGAGATCAAATTGAAGCTGTAACAAGTGAAACTAGTCAAGGAATTGGTCAAGAAAAGGAAATTGGTCAAGGAAGTGAAATTAATTGTGAAGCTGATCAAGGAGATGTTGAAGCTAGAAAATGTGCTAAGAAACTGGTGTACTCAAGGAAGACTAAGGTCATTCTAGGATCAAGTCATGTCCAAGAATCCAACTTGACTCCACAAAAAGAGGTAACAATTTTTTCTCCAACTGTGCAGGTTGAAATTGAAACCTAAAATGATCCTGACCTCCCAATTGCCATTAGAAAAGGCACAAGAAAATGCACCAAACAACCACTCTACCCTCTCAAATTACATGTCCTTTAAAAATTTCTCTCCTACCCATAAAACCTTCCTAATAAACCTAAACACTACACTTCTACCTAATACCCTATCTGAGGCATTGTCTGACAGAAAATGGAGACAAGCCATGGGTGTAGAGATGGATCGCATGTCTGGTAATGTCTCTTTGTTCTCTTCTCTCTCATTTCCTAAAACTCCTCATCTTATAACCCTAGCCAACAGATCTAAAGTAGCCTCTAAAGGAACTGGTCAAGTCTCCATTTCTCCGTCTTTAAACTTAAAATCTGTTCTTTTTGTTCCTTCATGTCCCTTTAGTCTCATTTCCCTAAGTCAATTAACCAAATTATTGAATTGTTCAGTAACCTTTAATGCCAACTCTTTTGTTTTTTATTATATTGCTTCAGGAAAATGTGTTTATTTAATTGTATATGTAGATGATATAGTCAATACAGGGGATGATGTTGATAAAATTTCTCTGCTAAAGAAACATTTACGCAATCACTTCCAAACTAAGGATCTTGGTTGTCTCAAATACTTTCTAGAGATTGAAGTGGCTTAATCAAAAGAAGGCATCGTAGTCTCCCAAAGAAAGTATGCTTTAGATATCCTGACAGAAACAGGCATGATTGATTGTAGACTAGTAAACAACCCTATGGATCCAAATCAGAAATTAATGGCGGATCAGGGTGAACCACTCTCTGATCCTGAGAGATATAGAAGACTTGTTGGGAAACTCATTTATCTCACCATTACCAGACCTGACCTATCTTTTGTCGTTGGAGTTGTGAGTCAATTTATACAAAATCCGCGTACTGATCATTGGAATACTATCATTCACATCCTAAAATATCTCAAAAAAACTCCAGGACAAGGTCTGTTGTATGAAGATAAAAGCGGTACCCAAATATCTGGGTATTGTGATGCTGATTAGGCTGGATCCCCTATGGACAGACGCTTCACAACAAGATATTGTGTTCTCATTGGAGCCAATATTATTTCTTGGAAAAGTAAGAAACAAAATGTAGTGGCCCGGTCTAGTGCTGAAGCTGAATATAGAGCAATAACATCTCTCACTTGTGAACTAGTGTAGGTGAAACAATTCCTTCAAGAACTGAAATTTTGTGAGATCCAACAGATGAAGATGTATTGTGACAATCAAGCAGCTCTCCACATTGCCTCTAATACGGTGTTCCATGAAAGGACCAAACATATAGAACTTAATTGTCATTTTATTCGTGAAAAATTGTTGTCTAAAGAAATTTGCACTGAATTTGTCGGGTCCAATGATCAACTTGCAGATGTGTTGACAAAGTCTTTAAGAGGACCTCGAATTGAATTTATTTGTTCCAAGCTTGGCACATACAATTTGTATGCTCCAGCTTGAGGGGGAGTGTTAGAATTATTATTAGTTAGTGGTTAGTGGTTAGTAGTTGGTGGTTGTTGTTTTAAATATTGTAATCCTATATATATATATATATATGAGATCATAGAGTGGAGTGATGCATCCCACTAAATTAGAAATCTTCTTTTCACTCTCTTTACTCTCTTAACTAATATTTTTCTCAAATTGATATTAGAGCGAGTGAGATCCCACCTTGATTTTCTTTGTAACTAGTCATATCCGACCATCAAGTGCTACCATCCGTTGTAATCGTCAACCAACACCTTTCACATCGACGAAGCAAGGGTTAAGTGTGCCACAAGGAGTGCGACCCAACTGCACCAACTGCAATGCCATCTGCCACCGCACACGCTCTCAGGCGTCGATCGAAGCACGACCTATCCTAGGTGTGTGTCTCACATGCAATGTCACTTTCCTTAGTTTTTGTAATCGCATTTTGACTCCATTGTTGTTCTTATTTTATGAAAACATATTGAGTCTACATTTTCTAAACAATATGAAACTCAATGTAATTTTACTTTTTCATATTAGGGGATTGAGTCGTGTCACCTCATTTTGTTCTCGATATTTTGTAACTCTCGTTGATGAATTTTTCAAATGTACATAGGTTTATTTAATGAAAGACAAAACTAAACTCTTATCCATATTTATGTCTTTTTCTCAAGGATCAATTTTGGAAGATAATTAAAATCCTCAGAAGTAATAATATTAAAGAATATTTTTCTAATGCATAGATGAGGTTGTATTGAGACAATCACGTAACTCTTCATACTGGATCCAATCCAATTGTTGTCCAAGGATTTGACCAACTTATCGACATTTTTACTATACCTCTAAGAGGAACTAGAATTCAATTTGTATGCTCCAAGCTTGGTGCATATAAATTATATACCAGGTTAGGGTTAGAGGTTGAAGCCTTACACTGGCTTGTATATCCCTTGTCACCAAAGCCCCACCACCCTCTACATTCCCAAAATTGACAAAAGTTCCTGAAATATAACAAGAATCCAACCCCCCCCCCCTACTAGTGCCCAGTATCAGCCAGAATGTTTGATCAACCAAACATCACAAATGTTACTCCTAGTAATAAGATTCTCAGGAATTATTTTCAAAACCTGAAACAAAATGTTCTTAGCAGTTATGGATATAACTCACCTGGCTAGTTCGAAATGTTACTTTCTTGTCAATAGGTTCGCACATGACATTTGGTTCAAACTTAATTTCCTGCAAAAGAAGTCAATCAATTCATTAATTACACAACTCGAACTGAGATAAGAAAAGTGATTATAAACCATGAATATGATCATTTAACACATGGCTCAGAAACAGGGATAAGGAAAAATTCAAAATCATTAGGCACAATAGCAAGAATACAACATAAAATTAATATGAATTTAACACAACACAAAAATTAATGTTTAGAAAAAGTATAAGACATTATTAAAAGTAAGAACCAATGAAAATATTGTGGTATTCCAATCAATAAGGGTACAAGAATTAAAAACATAAAAGTTTAAAAGTTATAATTGTAATTCAAAATACATGATTTCAATCAATATTCAATATCAACACAAATGTTACAAGGCAACACAAACATCTATCATGCAAAGTGTCCATCAAACTTAATTTCCTACCGCTTTTTCATAATGTATGCAACAATTAATTTTTTACATAACAAAAAGCATTGATATGTTATTATTAGAGATACTATATTAGTTAGGAATTCATTGTATTTGGTATTTGTTAGAATTACTGTAATTAGGTGGCTTTTAGAAGTATTCCAGGTGATTGTTAGAATTAATACAAATTGGTAGTAATTGAATTTAAATGTAGTTTGAGTTGTACCTCTAAATCTATATATATAGCATCATGAGAGTGGTGTGATTAACCTCTAAAAATACTTCTCTTTTTAATATTAAGTTGGTATCAGAGGGGGCCCTTCTGGTCTCCATCGCCGCCGACCGCAGCTTTCAATCACGAGCCACCACCACCGTCCTTTGTTGTCGCCTCCCACCATCGTTGTCGCCGCTATTGTATCTCTTCATTATCCCTGAGGTCTCCTATAAAACTCTAGCAAACATGTCTTCTAGACCTGTTGTCTCTTTCCCAAGCACTCCTACCATCACTTCTGAGAAATTAAATGGAAAAAAGTATCTCTCTTGGTCTACTTTCGTAGAAATGTGGTTCCTTGGCAACCTAGTATATTGGGAACTCTCATATCATTAAGGACTTGCCATTCTTTTTGGAAAAAGGGCTTAAGATATCATTGCAAATGATATTCATAGCCAATATGATTATGCACATAGATTGGCAACTGTCAAGGAAATTGATAACGACATGATCTCCATTATTGTTGAAGTGGGCCTGGTTGGGAAAATTTAGTAGTCTTGTTCAGCAGTTTTGAATGACTCGCAATGAAGTAGATCATTTAGTATTTTACCGTCACTAAAGTACTGGGTGTATCTATTTAAAGTATATGTTGACAATATTGTTTTCACAGAGTGATCACCATGGCATCTCCCAGATGAAGCAACATCTTTGCCACCACTTTCAGACCAAAGATCTTGGCAAACTTAGATATTTCTTGGGGATTGAGGTAGCGCAATCCAATAATGGCATTGTTATATCTCAGAGAAAATGTGCATTGGATATTTTAGAAAAAACTGGGTTGATGACTCAAAATTTGTTGACCCACTCATGGATCCCAATATCAAACTCCTACCTAATCAGGGGGAGCCTCTATTAGATCCTGAGAAGTACAGAAGATAAATTGGAAAATTAAACTATTTTACTGTTACCCGCCCGACATTTCCTTTGCAATTAGCATTGAGTCAATTTCTTAATTCCCCATGTGTAGATCATTGGAGTGCAGTCATTCGTATATTAAAGCACATTAAAGGATTTCATGAAAAAAATTTGTTATATGATCACAATAACCAGGCTAAAGTTGTGTGTTATTCAGATGCTGACTAGGCAGGATCTTCTTTAGATAGAAGATCTACTTCCGAATAATGTGTCTCTATTGGAGGTAACTTGATACCTTGGAAGAGCAAGAAACAAAGTATTGTAGTAAGATTTAGTGCTGAAGCAAAATATAGAGTTATGGCCTCAGCCACTTCTGACCTTGTTTGCCTTAAACAATTACTTAAAGAATTGCAATTTGGAGATATCACTCAAATGACACTTATATGTGACAATCAGGTTGTTCTTCATATTCGCTCTAATCTTGTCTTTTATGAAAGGACCAAAACACATTGAAGTTGACTGTCATTTTATTTGAGAAGAGATTGTATCTAGAGATATTAAAACCACGTTTATTAACTCATGTGAATATTTAATAGATATTTTCACCAAGTCTTTACAGGGACCTGGAATTGATTATTGTTGATATATGATGTTTTTCTATCTTCCCTTAGACTAGGGTTAAGGGTTTGGGCTGAGGTTAATATCCTCTCCATTGTATCCTTTTTATCTATAAATACAATGTAACAGTGTCTTTTGCCACTGTATTGAAAACCCTAAATAAGTTTCTCAAATTGATATCAGAGTCCAAACCTAACATCTTTCCGGTTATTGTCTTGGGCCAATAGTTATCCTTTCCCTCATCCGGAAGACTTCGTTGGAGGGGGCGTGTTGAAGGTCCCACATCGCCTGTCTCATGTCATTTGGTATGGTTTAAATACATGAGTTAAGAGAGTAAAGAGTTAAAAAGAATATTTATAATTAAGTGGGATACCACTCTATACTCTATGATCTCACATACATACATACATACATACATACATATATATATATATATATATATATATATATATATATATATATATATATATATATATATATATATATATATATATATATAAGATTACAGAATTTAAAACAATAACTACCAACCACCAACTACTAATCACTACCCAATAATAATTCTAGCACTCCCCCTAAAGCTGGAGCATACAAATTGTATATGTCAAGCTTGGAACAAATAAATTCAATTTGAGGTCCTCTTAAAGACTTTGTCAACACATCTGCAAGTTAATCATTGGACCCGACAAATTCAGTGCAAATTTCTTTAGACAACAATTTTTCACAAATAAAATGACAATCAAGTTCTATATGTTTGGTCCTCTCATGGAACACCGGATTAGAGGCAAGTGGAAAGCTGCTTGATTGTCACAATACATCTTCATCTGTTGGATCTCACAAAATTTCAATTCTTGAAGGAATTGTTTCACCCACACTTAGTTCACAAGTGAGAGATGTCATTGCTCTATATTCAGCTTCAACATTAGACCGGCCACTACATTTTGTTTCTTGCTTTTTCAAGAAATAGTATTGCATCCAATGAGAACACAATATCCGGTAGTGGAGTGTCTGTCCATAGGGAATCCAGCCCAATCAGCATCACAATACCCAGATATTTAGGTACCCCCTATATCTTCATACAACAAACCTTATCCTGGAGCCTTTTTGAGATATTTTAGGATGTGAACAACATTCCAATGATCAGTACGCGAATTTTGCATAAACTGACTGACAACTCCAACGACAAAAGATAGGTCAGGTATGGTAATGGTGAGATAAATGAGTTTCCCAACAAGTCTTCTAGATCTCTCAGGATCAGAGAGTGGTTCACCCTGATCCACCATTAATTTATGATTTGGATCCATAGGGCTGTCTACTGGTCTACAATCAATCATGTCTGTTTCTTTCAAGATATCTAAAGCATACTTTCTTTGGGAGACTACGATGTCTATTTTGATTAAGCCACTTCAATCCCTAGAAAGTATTTGAGACAACCAAGTTCCTTAGTTTGGAAGTGATTGCGTAAATGTTTCTTTAGCAGAGAAATTTTATCAACATCATCCTCTGTAATGACTATATCATCCACATATACAATTAAATAAACACATTTTCCTGAAGCAGTATAATAAAAAACTGAATGATCTACTTCACTTCATTTTAGTCCAAAACTTTGAACAATGTGACTAAACTTTCCAAACCATTTTAGTCCAAAACTTTGAACAATGTGACTAAACTTTCCAAACCAAACACGTGGAGATTGTTTGAGACCATAGAGAGAACGATGTAACTTACAAACCAACCTAGACTCCCCCTGAGCAACAAAACTAGAAGGTTGCTCCATGTAAATTTCCTCCTCAAGATCACAATGCAAGAAAACATTCTTGATATCTAACTGATGAAGAGGCCAATGACGGATAGTTGTCATAGCAAAGAAAAGTCGAACAGTAGTCATTTTGGCCACAGGAGAAAAAGTATCACTGTAGTCAAGGCCATAGATCTGAGTGTAGCCTTTTGCTACTAATCTAGCTTTGAGTCGATCAACTTTACCTTTTGGTCCAACTTTATTGGCATAGACCCAACGACAACCAACAGTCTTCTTCCCAGTTGGAAGAGGAACTAAGTTCCATGAACCATTGTGCTCAAAAGTCTACATTTCATCAATCATGGCTTGTCGCCATCCAGGATGATCAAGTGCTTCTTTAACATTTTTTAGAATAGTAATAGTGGATACAAAAGAAACAAAAGAAAAACAAGAAAGAGACAATCCATGGTAGCTAGAAAAATTGTAAATGGGATGTGGATTACAAGTAAAGCGAGTATTTTTGCGAATGACAATGGACCAACTTGAGTCATCATTATTAGGAATCGTGATATCAGGGGATGATTGAGAAGGATTTGCTGAGGAAGACTCATTTTGGGATATGGGACTAATCATTTGACTCCTGTGTTGATAGGTAATAAGAGCAGTGGTGAGGATTCCAGTGTATTTTGTGTGGAATTTTGGGTGTTAGGAAGAGGAGGTACAAATGGCTCCACTAAGGGTATAGGTAGGTCATTTTGGACCGAACTAATATCCTGCATAAAAGAAGGGAAGAAAGGAGTTGATTAAAAAAAAAGTGACATTAGCAGACATGTAGTACCTCTTGGTTTCAGGATAATAACATTGATATCCTTTTTGAAGACGAGAATATCCCAATAAGACACATTTGATGGCTCTAGCTGATAGTTTATCTAAACCTGGAGACATATCATGAATAAAACATACGCAACCAAATACACGAGGAGAAACATGAAAGAGTGGTTCCTTTGGCAATAGAATAGAGTGTGAAACTTTATTATCAAGAGAAGAAGATGACATTCTATTAATGAGAAAACATGCAGTAAGAATAGCATCTCCCCAATGATAAATAGGCATATTTGCACCAAGTAATAAGGTACAAGCAGTTTCAACCAAATGTCTATTTTTTTGTTTTGCTATACCATTTTGCTGTGGTATGTGAGGACAAGTAGACTGGTGTAAAATGCATTGGGAACTTAAGAGAGTGGAGAAATCAGTAGAAAAGTATTCTTTGGCATTATCACTTCGTAAAATTTTGATTATTTTTCCAAATTGATTTTGTTAAGGAAAGACTTAAAAATAGGTAATAATTCAGAACGGTCTTTCATTAGATAAATCCAAGTACACCTAGATAACTCAATATCTATAGCCAAACGATGAGACTAGGACCCCAAATATCAGAATGAACAAGAGAAAAGACAAAATCACATCTAGATTCAGAACGTTTAGGAAAAGAGACCTAGTATATTTCCCTAGTTGAGATGATTCACATTCAAAACTTGAAGGGTATGAAGTTCAGGAACCATTTTTTTTAATCTTGACAAGTGAGGGTGCCCTAAACATTTGTGTAATAGTTTTCGAGACAAGGATGCAACACAAGATACAGATGATTTAGTCCCACGGTAGTATAAGCCTCCAGATTCATGTCCTTCGCCAATCTGTCGACTCGTACTACGTTCTTGTATAACAAAAGATTTGGCATTAAAGGTTACTGAACAATTTAATAATTTGGTTAATTGACTTAGGGAAATGAGACTGAAGGAATATGAAGGAAAAAGAGAACAGATTTTAAATTTAAAGACGGAGAAATGGAGACTTGACCAGTTCATTTAGAGGCTACTTTAGATCCGTTGGCTAAGTTTATGAGATGAAGAGTTTTAGGAAATGAGAGAGAAGAGAACAAAGAGATATTACCAGACATGTGATCAGAAGTACCTGAGTCAATAATTCATGGATTTTGACTTTCCACAGATTGTGAAATGCAAGTTGTTGATGAATTTGGAGTTGTTGATGACTATGCTAGATTACTGGATTTCAACCTCAAATATTCTTGATATTCTTCGTGAGAGAACTTGGGTTCAACCATTTCATATTTGAAAAAATTGACAGTTTTGTCAGGAAAACCGTACGAAGAGTAGCAATTTTCCAGGGTATGACCCATTCTCTTGCAATGAGTGCCCTGAGGACATCCTCTACCTCCACGTCCTCCTCTAGTGCCGCGACTTCCTCTTTCACGAGTAGAAATCATAGCAAAAGATTCAACAAGTTCTTGATTATTTTTTCCTTTGAGAGTTGGAACACGATGCAGTCTTGTAGTCAAACTTTCCATAGAAGGAACTTCTTGTCCAGTTAAAATTTGATCTCTAACATGATCAAATTATGAATTCATAGCCTGGAGAGTCATAACCATATAGAATTTATCCAACTTTTGTTTTATCTCCTCTAACAAATTCACCTCTAGGAACATCTTTAATTCTTCAACTACTGATTGAGTTTCAGCAATAAAGGTCATCATATCTTTATCTACTTGCTTGAGAGAGGCTAATCGATTAGCGGGATCATTGGATATCATTTGTGAAGATATTCTAAGTCTTTTTCCAGAAAGGCGTTGGCTAATCGATTAACATGTTAGGCTACTTCATATAATGTCAATTGGTTGTATATTGGAACCTTAACAATTATATTTGTAACAAGTGTAGTACATATGATTTATATGCATCAAGAGGGAGAGTGTTAGATATTTTAGATATTCTAGATATTATAAATATTATTAGTCAAAATATATGTATTTACCATATTTACTTAAATGAATCTTAATTATAAATATCTTACCCTATGTATATTTTAGACATAAGAAAATTAACATTATAACTAGTTTTTCACTATATTCAATAGGTATGAAGCACTATGCAAATACTAATCAACAACAAATATAGTGGCTAAAACAATGATATATATTGCTGCATCTAAAGCACAAAGGTTAGCTAGTTAGCAACAGTTATATGCCAAGTGCTAATTGATAATTAAGTTACACTTAATTGGAAAATAACTGGAAAGTGACCAGAAGTGGCCGAAAAAGTGATCGGAAGGTGGTCGGACGCGTGACCGAACAAGAACTGGATGGTGGCAGTGACAGACAGAGCAGGGACCAACTTGCTCGATACCAAGTTAAGAGAGTAAAGAGAGTTAAAAGAAGATTTATAATTCAGTGGGATACCACTCTCCACTCTATGATCTCATATATATATATATATATATATATATATATATATATATATATATATATATATATATATGTATATATATATATATATGTATATATATATATATATATATATATATATAGGATTACCACATTTAAAACAACAACTACCAACCACCAACTACTAACCACTAACCATTACTTAATAATAATTCTAACATGTTAGGCTACATCACATAATGTCAATTGGTTGTATTAGAACCTTAACAATTATATTTGTAACTAGTGTGGTACATATGATTTATATGCATTAACTTGAGGAGCAAGTGTTAGATATTTTAGATATTATAGATATTATTAGTCAAAATATATGTATTTATCATATTTACTTAAATGAATCTTAATTATAAATATATTATCCTATGTATATTTTAGACATAAGGAAAATAACATTATAGCTAGTTTTTCACTATATTCAACAGTTATGAAGCACTATGCAAATACCAATCAACAACAAATTTAGTGGCTAAAACAATGATATATAATGCTGCATCTAAAGCACAAAGGTTAGCTAGTTAGCAACAGTTATATGCCAAGTGCTAATTGATAATTAAGTTACACTTAATCTAAAATACAAACTTCAAAACTTATGGCTAAATTAGTAAATCAAATGTAACAAGTTCCAAGATTTCTCAATTACTAAACTAAAATTTAGTCATTTCATTTCCATCGGAATTGAAGGAATCAATACAAACCAACCTCATAAAGTGCAATATCTTCTTCAGGGTCATAACCAGCCATTTCATTTAACCTCGTTAAGATTTCCAATGGCTTGCCAGTACACTTCACAAAGAGACTTCCAACGTAACTGCCATTATAATGAAAAAATAAATCTTAGGTCAACCTAGGTGTCAGATCAAAACGTTGAAATACAGAAATTACTCAGTACCGCAGCTCCTCTTTTTCAGGATCATATAGCTTGAAAAAAAGTAATATATCGTCCTTGGTTTTCTCAGGTGGTGCAATCGGACGAGAATCCTAAAATTGAATGCAGATTTTCAACAGAACAGTGTGAGTTGAACATTAAAATTTCATAATATTACATTAAAATTCAATTTCAATACAAATGTTACCATCCCCATCTCCACTTCTAAAAACAATTTTAATTCTGCATTGTGAACCTTGTTTGATACTTCTCTCAATTGTCCAACCTGTAATACAATGAAGTAGATTGAGAAAAACTTCAATTCATAGATTTTTTTATTTCACATAAACAACACCACCGAAACATAAAACAATCACAAACATCAGAGCAATCCGAAAACATGGAATACAAACCACAGGATATGTACATTACTATTTAAACATTGAATTTTTTTTTTTTTTTCTGTTTCAAGAAATAGAAAACAATTAATAAAAGATGGGGAAAATGAAAAACAAAAGCAACCCATGAACAATTCAGCCAGCCCACAAAATGGAATAAACATATAGCATGCCCGCACAGTAACATAATGAACAGGCTTCCATTAAATTAAACCAAGCTATAATTCAAAAACAATAACCATGAGAAATAGTCAGCAGCAGCTAAGAAAAAGGAACGAAGTAGAAAACAAAATCTCCAAGCAAAAATGAGAATTTACAGATTGTGCTTCCTCAATAGGTGTCAATGGCCTATTAGGACGATAGGTATGGTTTTGTCGCTTTGCCCATAGCCAATAGCGCTGAAATTGAACTGGTACATTAAATTCTTTTGCAACCTCTTCCTGTATATTACAGAATATGCAAAAATGGGCATTAAGAACAAATTAGGAAATAAAGTATTTACAGAAATTATCTATAATAAACTACACACTATTTACTAAAGTAGATATTGACAATATTGATTATTGTAACACATTTCATTATTGTTCTTTTCTGTCTTCAGTATCTTCTTTTTCTATTCCAAAAAATGTGACTGAAGCTATCAATCATCCTAGATGGCGACAAGCTATAATTGTCGAGATGCAAGCTCTTGACCAGAATCACATATGGGAGTTAGTGCCTCTTCCACCAGGGAAGAAGACAATTGGATGTTGATGGGGTTTATGCCATTAAAATTGTCCCCAATGGTGAGATAGATCATCTCAATGCACGATTAGTTGAAAAAGGGTACACACAGATTTATCATCTTGACTACCGTAATACTTTTTCACCAGTTGCCAAAATGACTATTATCCATCTTTTCTTTGCCATGACCGCTATTCGTCATTGGTCTCTTCATCAGCTGGATATTAAAAATGCATTTCTTCACAGCGATTTAGAGGAAGAGGTCCACATGGAGCAATCTCCTGATTTTGTTGCTCAGGAGGAGTTTGGATTGATGTGTAAGTTACGTCGTTCTCTCTTCTCAAACAATCACCACGTACTTGGTTTAGGAAATTTAGCCACATTGTTCAAACTTTTGGGATGAAGCGTAGTGAACCTGATCATTCAGTTTTTTATTGTTACACCTCCCTAAAAAATGTGTTTACTTGATTGTATATGTTGATGATATCGTGATAACAAGAAATGATGCTACCAAAATATCTCAACTAAAAGAACACTTGCGTAATCACTTTCAAACTATGGATCTTGGAAGCCTAAAATATTTCTTAAGGATTGAAGTAGCTCAGTCAAAATAAAAAGTTGTTATCTCTCAAAGAAAATATGCCTTACATATTCTAAAGGAGACAGGTATGGTTGACTGTAGACTAGTAGATAGTCCCATGAATCCAAATCAAAAGCTAATGACAGAACAGGGTGAATTGTTCTCTGATCCAGAAAGATATAAAAGACTAGTTGGGAAACTTATTTATCTGACTATCACGAGATCTGATCTGTCTTTCGCAGTGGGTGTTGTAAGTCAGTTTATGCAAGCTCCTTGTACTGACCACCATTGGACTGCTATTATCCAAATTCTAAGGTACCTCAAAAAGGCCCCAGGACAAGGTCTACTATACGAAGATAAAGGAGATTCCAAAAATCTCTAAATATTGTGATGCTGATTGGGTAGGATCTTCCCCTGACAGGCATTCTATGATAGGATATTGTGTTTTCCTTAGAGCAAATATTATTTCCTGGAAAAGTAAGAACTAGAATGTAGTAGCCCAATCTACTGCAGAAGCTGAATACCCGGCCATGGCTTTTGTTACTTGTGAACTTATATGGTGAAACAATTCCTTCACAAACTCAAATTCTATAAGATCCACACAATGAAGATGTATTGGGATAATCAAGTTGCTCTCCACATTGCCTCTAGTCCAGTATTTCATGAGAACTAAGCATATATAGATTGACTACAATTTTATTCGGGAGAAGTTGTTGTCAAAAGAGATATGTACGGAGTATATTGCTTCTAATGATCAACTTGCAGATGTACTAACCAAATCCTTAAGGGGACCCCAGATTGAATTCTGTTATTCCAAGCTTGGAACATATAATTTGTATGCTCGGGGAGTGTAAGAATTACCGTAGGTGGCTATTAGGAGTATTACAGGTGGTTGTTAGAATTAATAGAAATTGGTAGTAGTTGCAATTGAGTGGTACCTATCTAAATCTATAGATATGAGATCATGAGTAGTGTGATTAACCCCTCTAAAAATACTTCTCTCTTTTTAATATTAAGTCCACTTTCGTCATACTAATAGTAATGTCCCCTTCACTCTGATCTAAGTGAAACAATAATGAATTATACTGACCAGACTACCACGCAAGTATGACGGTAGAAGATACCTTGAAAAGGTTAAAAGATGTTTGCTTTTGGACTCGGAAACTTCTAACTTTGTCATGGTCTACAAGATCGAAGTAAATAGCCTTTCCAATCTGCCCTTTAAGATCTTCATCACGTGCCACCTAAGAATATCATATCAGTAGTAGCGAACATAATTTGATGGTTAATTTCAAAAATAAGGTAAAATGCAATACAAACAATATTCAATTGCTTCTTTAAGAAGTCAAGGTCAGGAACTAAGAACCTTTATAATAGTATAAAGGTGAGCTTCTGCTTTTTCTTTCTTTTTATGCTCTTTCTCTTCTTGTTCTTTCTTCAACCTCTCCTACGTTAATTCATTGCAGAAAATCATACCCAATTTCCAGAATCAAGCAGCATAAGTAACAGAATATTAAAATAAAAAGTAGGGGACACAGCAAATTGAACTTGACTTAATTGTTGCCCATATGTTCAGAACGCCTGCTGCTTCTCAATAGAAAATAAATACAGTGATTAAAGAGAAAAAAAATACAAGATAAAACAGGATAATTTGAAAAGTGTCATCAAGTTGATAGCTACAGCTAAGCAGAAACATGCTTTCTTAGACCTATTGCCAAATAAAGCAGCATCAAAACAATTTTGAAGTTAAAGCCAGTAACAAACATGAAACATGTTCTTGCCTTCCATCTTTCACAGTTCTTTATGCATATAAAATACACGCTTACCCTTAAATGTGCGGCAATGTCTTTCTCATCCACATTGCATATGATTTTATCCTTGTCACTTTCACGTATATACACCAGCATATAAGCATTTGAGTATTTGGTGAACTTAAAAGGAGTGTTATTGAATCCAGGATTTGCCTGTGGTAACTGTTAAAACACAAGATTCAATCGTTAACAGACAAAATATTCAAAAAGAAAAATGTCATGATCAAAGGTAATAAAATAATTACCTCTTCCTCACCACCATATTGCTCCTCTAATGCTCTTTTATTATCTTCTTTTGTAACCCTCTCGTCATCAAATTTGTACCTGAATGCCGTTCCAGATATTAACAAATAGTTAATACCATGGCAAGCCAAAAAAGGTATTTCTAAACATCAAAAAGTTACAGTGCCTCCGAGTACGCTTCATATTTTGTACAGCAGTTTCACTAAATCTAATAAGGAAATAATACCAAAGAACAGAATCCTTCAAATATTATCAACAGCAAACTACCTCCATCAACCTTTTGAAAATGTTTGCATAGTGCTTTTTAAGAAACTCTCCAAATTGTCTTTTGCATTACTTTATTATTTTCAAATTAATTCTTCACAATCTGTTACATGTCCTTCATATAACCAAAAATCTTGTTACTGTAAGCAAATTAGCTTACGACAATCATGTATATTTTGAGTTTAATTCTAACAAATGTTTTGTTAATCTCAGGATTCTGAAGAAACTCTCCTTCAAGGTCATTTTGGTCCTAATGGGCTCTCTATCAGTTTCCCAGTGTTCCTTTTTTCTCAGCTACAAATTTGTCCAATTGTCAGTCTTCTCTTTGTATAAATACTGCTTTAGATAGGTGTACTGATGTTATGCCAAACACTGCATATACTTTTGTTGCACAATGTAATATCAAATTTCTTATTAGAGTTGAGTTTCCTTCTGTATTCTGCATGTTGTGCAGGAAAAGCTCATTATTACCCTTGTTAGAATTATTATTAGGTAGTGGTTAGTGGTTAATAATTGGTGGTTGGTAGTTGTTGTTTTAAATGCTGTAATTCTATATATAAATGTTGTAATTCTATATATATATATATATATATATATATATATATATATATATATATATATATATATATATATATATATATATATATGAGATCATAAGAGTGGAGATTGTTTTAGACCATAGAGAGAACGATGTAACTTACAAACCAAACTAGACTCCCCCTGAGCAACAAAACCAGGAGGTTGCTCCATGTAAATTTCCTCCTCAAGATTACCATGCAAGAAAGCATTATTGATATCTAATTGATGAAGAGGTCAATTACGGATAGCTGCCATAACAAAGAAAAGTCGAATAGTAGTCATTTTGGCCACAAGACAGAAAGTATCACTGTAGTTAAGGCCATAGATCTGAGTGTAGCCTTTTGCTACTAATCTAGCTTTGAGTCGATCAACTTTACCTTTTGGTCCAACTTTAATGGCATAGACCCAATAACAACCAACAGTCTTCTTCCCAGGTGGAAGAGGAATTAAGTTCCATGTACCATTGTGCTCAAGAGCTTACATTTCATCAATCATAGTTTGTCGTCATGCAGGATGATCAAGTGTCTCTTTCACATTTTTTGGAATAGTAATAGTGGATACAGAAGAAACAAAAGAAAAATAGGAAGGAGACAATCTATGGTAGCTAAGAAAATTGTAAATGGGATGTGGATTACGAGTAGAGCGAGTACCTTTGCGAATGGCAATGGGCCAACTTGAGTCATCATTATCAGGAATCGTGATATCAGGGGATGATTGAGAAGGAACTGTTGAGGAAGACTCATCTTGGGACATGAATCTAGAGGCGAAGTTTAATCACATTGTTCAAAGTTTTGGATTAAAACGAAGTGAAGCAGATCATTCTGTTTCTTATTATGCTGCTACAGGAAAATGTTTATTTAATTGTATATGTGGATGATATAGTCATTACAGGGGATGATGTTGATAAAATTCTTCTGCTAAAGAAACATTTATGCAATCACTTCCAAACTAAGGATCTTGGTTGTCTCAAATACTTTCTAGGAATTGAAGTGACTCCATCAAAAGAAGGCATCGTAGTCTCCCAAAGAATGTATGCTTTAGATATCGTAAAAGAAACAGGCATGATTGATTGTATACCAGTAGACAACCCTATTGATCCAAATCAGAAATTAATGGCGGATCAGGGTGAACCGCTCTCTGATCCTGAAAGATATAGAAGACTTGTTGGGAAACTCATTTATCTCACTATTACCAAACCTGACCTATCTTTTATCGTTGGAGTTGTCAATCAGTTTATGCAAAATCCGCGTACTGGTCATTGGAATGTTGTCGTTCACATCCTAAAATATGTCAAAAAGGCTTCAGGACAAGGTCTGTTGTATGAAGATAAAGGGGGTACTCAAATATCTGAGTATTGTGATGCTGATTGGGCTGGATCCCCTATTGATAGATGCTCCACTACAGAATATTGTGTTCTCATTGGAGGCAATATTATTTCTTGGAAAAGCAAGAAAAAAAATGTAGTGGCCCGGTCTAGTGCTGAAGCTGAATATAGAGCAATGGCATCTCTCACTTGTGAACTAGTGTGGGTGAAACAACTCCTTCAAGAACTAAAATTTTGTGAGATCCAACAGATGAAGATGTATTGTGACAATCAAGCGGCTCTCCACATTGTCTTTAATCCGGTGTTTCATGAAATGACCAAACATATAGAACTTGATTGTCATTTTATTCGTGAAAAATTGTTGTCAAAAGAAATTTGCACTGAATTTGTCGGGTCCAATGATCAACTTGCAGATGTGTTGACAAAGTCTTTAAGAGAACCTCGAATTGAATTTATTTGTTTCAAGCTTGGCACATACAATTTGTATGCTCCAACTTGAGGGGGAGTGTTAGAATTATTATTAGGTAGTGGTTAGTGGTTAGTGGTTAGTAGTTAGTAGTTGGTGATTGGTGGTTGTTCTTTTAATTGTTGTAATCCTATATATATATATATATATATATATATATATATATATATATATAAGATCATAGAGTGGAGAATGACATCCCACCGAATTATAAATCTTCTTTTTAACTCTCTTTACTCTCTTAACTACCCTCTCAATTGCGTCAAAACTAAACAAACATCTCCATTGAAATTGATATATAGTGACTTGTGAAGACATATTCCTACTAATTCCCATGGTAAATGTAATCACTATTTATCCAAGGTTGATGCTTTAACTGTTTTTAACCGGTATTATCAAGTATAAGATAACAGAAAATATCGGTAACCCAAAAAACTTCTATGAAAATATATCGCATTCCATAATAGGTAATGGAGGAAGCATCATGAATAGTATATATATATATATACACACACACACACACACCATATCTCATTTCACCTTCCTAGCAAGACTTATTAAAGTTAAATAATTCAATCATAATTAGAATTAGAGCTATTATATTCTAATTCATTCACATCCCAACTTGAATCTTCCTTTTTCCTTTCGTTTGGGTTGAAGTCAAAATTGAACCTACTCTATTTGGAAACATCAGAAGATCCAATAACAAAACCACCACTTATGGTGGTTGTTTTCTTTTGTTGGTTATTTTTTTTTTCTCCTTTTATAAATTATTGGCTGTCCAACATCAGAAGCTTCATAACCAAATGCCCACCTAAGAGTGGGATTATCATCAAAAACCAACTCATGCTCTCCATCTTCATTATTACTATGATCTACTTGCCCCACCAACCACCCCAACCAAAAAGACAAAATAAAAGATAAAAATACAACAGGAAAAAAAAAATACAAAATAAGTAAAAAGAAGCAAGAAAAAAAAATGAAGTAGAAATGAAATAGAAGGCAACGCATGATTCACCTTCCTAAGTGGTGGTGGGACGGAGTGCTGATGGCAGCAACAACAATGACAGGGGTGCAAAGGAAGAAGAAAGAAATGAAGGGAGAAACAATATTTACAGGTTTCTTTACCATTTTGACCAGGTTGTATGACCTACCTTTTTTTATTATTATTGGGCCTTGTAACCTTAAAATTTGTAGGGTTATTGTTAGGGCATGGTGTGTCACACAAACCCAGTGCTTCTTCTCCTACCATCAGCATGCTGTGCCAGTATTGTTGGAGCAAGATTTCCACCATGGACTTTTTGGAACGTCATTCCATTATGGACATGTCAGGCGCCATGTGATAGGCATCAAAGCTTTACAAACGGATTGGGTTGTGAATATCAAGTTTTTACTACCCAAATGAGATAGGTATTATTCATCGTTTGTCATATCTTCACACTCATCACCAAATTGGTTTTGTTAAACAAAAACACAAACTCTAGTTGAAATGGGTCTGATGAAGTATTTATTAGATTAATTCTATCTTGGTGGGCATTTATGAGATTAGTTGTAAACCTAGTTCCTAGAATGCATCTGTTTATCTTCTCTAGGATTAATCATGTCTCTCTATTAATTATATCTCTGAATCTGTATTTTTATCTCCTATAAATAAGAGAACACAAGAAGATGATTTCAAGCTCTCAAAATTAGTTCTTTATTTTTCTTTTTCTATTTCAATTTGGTATAAGAGCGGGTTCATCCCGCTCTGCCTGTCTTTGTTTTTTTTTGGCATTAATCACCGTTCGCCGCCGGTGCAGTACTTCTCCGACGCCATTTCTCTTACACTTGGGTTAGGCTCGCCTCGAGGAGCGCAACCCAATCCCAGTGATCGCTTCCTCCATCTCTGTCTCACGCGCCGCCACGCACCACCTTTGTCCGCGGTCTCCTTCGCTCGTGAGTCTCACGCGCCGCCCTCCCGGTGGCTGTTTTGCTCCTGTCCACCTCTATCCGGCTCGCCTGATCGCCCTGGTGCCAGATCTGCACTTTGTTTTGTGTTATCTGTCACAAAACGTGGTGGGTCTGTGTTTTTTCTCTCTGCCTCTCTCGGTCCTCTCTCTGCTTCCATAAACAGCACGCTAGTCCTCTCTTGTTTCCTGAAAAATGTCAGGACCTGTGTCTGTATCTTTTTCTGGGACTTCGACTATAACCACAGAAAAATTAAATGAAAAAAATTATTTGTCTTGGGCTTCCTCTGTTGAGCTCTGGTTTTTAGGACAAGGAGTTCATGATCATCTAGAAGAAGATGGAAGTACTAAACCAGCAGATCAGGCTCCTCAATGGAAGAAACAGGATTATCAATTTTGTTCACTATTATGGCAATCTGTTGAACCAAATATTTTGAGCACTCTTCGATCCTTCAAGACATGTAATTCTTTTTGGAAAAAGGCCCAAAATATATTTGCTAACGATATTCAACGATTTTATGATTCTGCTAATAGACTAGTCTCCCTTAAGCAAGAGGATATTTCCATGATGTCCTTCGTTGTTGAAGCTCAATCAGCAGTTGAAGAATTAAAAATGTTTCTGGACGCAGAATCATTAGAGGAAAGAAAGACGAAGCTGGATAAATTCTATATGGTAATGATTCTTAGGGCTATGAATCCAGAATTTAATCATGTTAA